CGAGGAAAACAATAAACAACTTTACACGGCGATAGACCTCCGTTAGTGTGCGTGCGTTTAACGTCACTAATCTATATTATAGCTAAGCCATATCAGGCATAACATTTGATAACGGCACAAAAGCATTTATAAACAAACTTTCTAAGGCCCTTTACACGCAAACCAAAGTACGCCCACGCAAACCAATACCACTTTCGGAAAGGTGATAGTTGCCCCTATCCGATGATGTTGTTGGTTTGCGTGAGCGTACTTTGGTTCACGTGTAAAGAGCCTTAGAAAGTTTGATTAATAACAGATGCTTATTTTTTAGAAAGAGAGGATTAATTTTATTCATCTTTGCTTAGGCTGTGTTCCATTTGGTGAATTTTTACTTAAATTTGATACTTCGAAAATAAATGATAATGTTCGAAAATCCCTCTGTTGTTGATCATCCGATTTTCGAAAAGGTTTTTGTCAAAATTGATTCATTGTCTGTCAGAAATAAGTCTGGTACAATAGCAGGTTTATTTGAAAATTTTCCATCTGTCAAATTTTAGTTAAAATTCACCAAATGGAACACAGCCTTAGTATAAAAATGGTGTATGCGTGCCATTGTATAAAATCGAAATTTACTTTCAATGTATATATACGGTTTAAAACGCTGTACAAACTGGAGAGTTATAACATGTTATAACGGTTGTCAAATAATTGCAACACTGAAACCACCATCAAGATAGCGCTATAACATGTTATAACTCTGTAGTCTGAACGTACTATAATCATAGAGGTAACTCTAAGACTAGAAGGTCACGTAGAAACGTGCTCAACTTTTTGGCACAGCTCTGGTACTCTCTTCGGTCCCAAGCTAATCGATTCACCCCTCGAAACATAGGAAAAACCAATAACCCCTCATTTTATCTGTCAAACTTTCATAGCGAATCAAAACAAACATTGCGTAGTACTAGAATTTCGACTAGAATAGGGTACGTTATTCGTTTGCTTAGGACCAATAGGCTACTAAAGTGGTGAGCCAATTTAAAATCGTTAGTTTCGTATTGATTGTTGCTATAATCGAGAGAATGTCTTTTTCGCTTCTTTATTTTATTTATGGTAAATATTATTGTTTTCAAATAGAAATAAAAATGTTCTCATGAAAGTTTTTTAATTATTTTATTTTTTATGAATATTATTTAAAAAATACTTACTATTTCTAAGTTCATTAAGATGAACTCGTGCTCACGAGCTCACGCAGTCTAGCTGCCCAGCAGATCACAGGCGCAGTTGAAATCCGCCGGAACAAAGCTCTTCACAAGCGCGAAGCTGCGCAGAGAATCCAAATGTTATTTTTCCTGTCATTTTAGTGAACACTGATCGAATTCCACTCCGTTATTCGGACTTAGTATAATTTTGACGAAAATTTTAATCGAACCAATGTATAAATTTTGAAAAACCATAACCGTAAAATTGTATAAAGTTTAATCTACATTCGTTTTGTAATATTTTATGTTCGAAAATCCCCGTGCTGTCGATCGACCGGTTTTCGAGCCACGGTCGTCAAAATTTAGCTTCTTGTCTGTCAGAAATAACCACGCTCGGATAGCAGGGTTAATCGATAACTTTCCATCTGTCAAATTTAAAAAAAAAAGTTAAAATAATCCACCAAATGGTTAAGAGCCTACACACTTAGAAAAAATCACCGACTTCGGTAATTCATTTACCGAATTCTCAACAGCTGAACGGTCGGTAATGTTTTCGGTAATCGAGAACATTACCGAAAAATCTGTAAACTGGATTAGCAAAATTAGCTGTCAAATTTACTGAACGATCGGTAACGTTTACCGATGTGCATTGCTTGATTTGTAGTCGACTTTACCGGAGAACTGTAATTTTGAGGACGATATGCAAATCGAAAATTACCGAGAGATTGCTTTAATATTGTTTCAAGGTGGCGGTCACTGCAACCCATGTAAACATTTGGCTGCTGTCGTGATCAATAAGTTAGTGTTGCAAATTGCACCACCAATGAACAAAACCGTTTTTGACGGAAGGATTCGGCGCTACACTGAAAACAAGGAAGCTTTGGAAGAATATTCCAAATGCTGATTTCAGATCGTCGCCAACGGGAATGAAACTTGAACCGACAGAAAAAACAAGCAACAACATCGGCCATCTGTAATCGGTATTTATTTAGATAACGAAAATTAATTATTTGCGGAAAATATCTACGATTCACTCATTTTGGTGTTGTATAACAGCCTCCATAATTTCACCTTTTTATTTTCCACAAGCACGAACGCTTTTAAAGTTGATCGAAAATAACAATATGGTGGATTTGACGTTTACCTAGACCATTACCGAACTCAGTTATGGAACGCTTTGTTTACCGAAACTTCAGTAAAATATTTCACCGAAGTCAGTGATGAAGCTGATTTACAGACCTGCCGGTAAAAATGTTTACCGTTTTCGGTAAATTATAATGAAATTACCGAAATTCGGTCATTTCATTTACAGTTTTCAGCAATATAGCGAGAAAATACCGAAACACCTGTAATTTTTAGCATTACCGATCTAAGACGGTAATTTTTTTACCGAACTCAGGGTCTCTGTTTAAGTGTGTAAGTTGCTTTTCATTCATTAATGAGTAAAAAAGTACTCATTATTCTCGCCCGAAGTGCTCTTAGAAATGGGTAAAAGAGTACCCATTATTTGAAATTGAACTTCACCCAGTCAGTCTCATTGAGCTTTTTGACGTTTAATCGGCGCACACTACTGTACCATTTAAAGCGAACGAGTGTGAGCAAGAAGGAAACAGATTAGTGGGAAAACAAACCGTCCATGTGTGTTAGATAGAGAAAGATGATTAATCGTCAAAAAGGTCTACACGGTGTTTCGCAAAAACCCATTAATGGGTATAAAAATACCCATTTCCGCTAAAAGTGCCCCTCCACATTTAATAGGTAAACTATGGTTTACTCATAAATGGGTAAATGGGTGGTCTGTCAATAAATGGGTGTTTTTTCACCCATTTTATTATATTGTGTTTACCGTAAAATGGGTGAAAAAAATACCCATTTTTACAAATGGAGGATGCAAGCACTCGTTGATGTAAAAATGTTTTTAAAACATTGAAAATAAATGCAGGTGTTCCGCTCAAATTTTTCACAAAACATTATAATACAAATTATCCATTGTATTGACTTATCCGTTAGCCTCTCCAACGTTTTGGATTCTAACATTTTCCGGAGATCGTTGCTGCGGACAGTAACTGTTTGCATCGAGGTTTGCATTCCCAATGAGCCGGTGACGGAAATGAGACGATAAAATTTCGAAGTGTTTTTTCACCCATTAATGGGTAAAAAATATACCCATTATTCAACCGTGAACTGATTTTTTAAATGGGTATTTTTTCACCCATTTTATGATTTCAAAATTCCCCCATTTTTTGACAGCTGCATACAGCTGCATACACGCTATTTTGAGGCTAATCAGTGACTGGGTGGATCGCACTCATTTTTGCATGCTGTATGGAGTTGTCAAAAAATGAGTAAACTGGTTTTGGTCTGATGAGTGAGATCTACCCAGATTCTGGGTAAATGGTTCTGATATAAATCATTTCGGTTAGTAGTGCCGGCAAGAAACGAAGACGAGGCAAGGGATCCGGACGGAGGACAGGTAGGTGCCTGGTTTCGGTAAGGCCAACATTGTATGGCCTGGATTGTCAGCGCCGACTATTCGAGGTCGCGAGCTTGTCCAACAGCAGCAGCTTCCAGAAGATAAGGAGCGGGAAGCCAAGCTCAAGAAGATTCGCGATGAGATGGTGAACTTCAAACGGATGAAGCTCAGTCCCCTTGAGCAAAGTTGACCAGGATATAAAATGCCTAGCCGTAGTATAAGACCGCCGTATGCAGTTGGAGAGGACCAGTTTGAAGGATTCGACACCAAATTTAATTTTCTTCCCGGACGAAAAAATTTATATGCAAAGCATTCGCGTTTATTCGTTTATATCGAAATGGGTAAGGTTTACTCAGTTGACAAATGTCATCATCTGAGTAACCGTTACCCAGTTTCATCCATTAGCACGTTTACTCAAATTTGAGTAAAAGCGTGATTACTCATTTTTGAGTAACTTCCCTTTTGGCTGAACTGAGTGATTTTCGACTCAAAAATGAGTAGCATCGAAATAGTGTGTACATGGTTTGAAAATGGGTATTTTTTTTACCCATTAATGGGTTTTTGCGAAACACCGTGTATATAGTCATCAAAAATGGGTCCTTTTTTACCCATTAATGGGTACATAACGTCAGCAATCTTTATAGCTAAAGAGGCTGAATTTTAAAAGACTGGATCAACAATAGAAAAGGGCCCATCAGCATTTGTAAACAAACCGTTCCAAAGCCCTTTACCATCATCGGATAGGGGAAACTTCTACCTACACGATGATGCATCAGTGGTGTTGGTTTGTGTGGGAGGCATTCGATTTGTGAGGAATGGGCTTTGGAACGGTTTGTTTACAAATGCTGATGGGCCCTTTTCTATTGTTGATCCAGAAGAGACGGCTAAAGGGTAAAGGCTTTTTATTTATAGCAATGCAAAGAGGATCGATCATCTCGTATACGCCCTTATGCATGCTCACTGTCGAATTCTACAAATACTCCTGTGAAGAATTCCCGGGACATCAAGATCAAAAAATAAGGCTCGAAACTCAATGAAAAATCAATCAAATCAAGCTGAACATTGCATTAGGTCCTAAGTAACATTAACAGATTCTCTATATAGCTACGTCAACTTCCTCTTTGCTTCTCAACGGCCATGTTAAGACATTCTCAGGTATTTTCAGCACGCAGATCGATAAAAGAAGCTGTTATCCAGCATCCAATATGACAAAAACAACAAGAAACGTTTATGTTTTCAAAATATTAATGGGAAAAGAAAATCGGCGAAGAGAATCGATCAATGTTACTTAGGACCTAATGCAATGTTCAGCTTGAAGTAATCTTGATATCAAAAATGTCATATTTTATTTTATTATTTCAGGCTATTTTACAGCTTTTAACAGGAGTAATTTTTTCTGGTTATTGTATTTGAATTGCTGAAAGAGTCGGTTCAATTTCACAAACATTTTGAACATTTCCAGACATTTCCAAATTTCATCGCAGGTTTTCAATTTTTTTTTGCGCACTACTGAACAGAGATGCCAGATGATTTAATGCCACAATAAGTGTGCTTCGAGGTCGAGCTGAATCTTCATGGTAACTTCTCTGGCCATTCATGTCATTTTCTCTGGTGCCTCTAAACCGTGAATGGCTGTTTTAATAAATTATGGTTTTTTATTCATTTGACCTTACTTTTATACGTTCCGCAACTCGGTTGATCCGGATGTTTCGTGATGCACCAGTTGCTGGCGAATGTCCTGTCACTGGTGGCTTTTCTTCGCGCTACACTCACCGTATAATCTTACTACAGATGTGGCATTTTATTCTATTTTAGACCTTCTCCCACCACGGACTTGTACTACTGGGGACGATTTTGTTTGAGCTTTTTGTTCGTGTTTTGAATGACTCTTTTCGTGAACTTGTCTCGAAAACTTTGTACTGTACGCCTTCGGGCAGTAACTGCATTTGAATTCGTGGTTCAAAGTCGAATGAAACGTTTTCATATGGCTTTGTAAAATTTTCAACGAAGTAAGTTTCTTCTGACATATGTTACACTCAAACTGTTTACTGCTTTGACCATGTTGCTTTTGAATGTGGGAGTTTAGTTTGGCCCTTCCGTTGAATGCTTCGCCACAAGCAGCACAGCTCACCGTGGTTGAAGCAGTATGCACGCGTTTCACGTGTTGCTTTAGAGAAACCTTGGAAGGGAACACTTCGTCACACTGATTGCATGTTGCCGGACACTGAGCGCTTTCGTCTGCAAATGAAGGATGCTGCTGCTGTACGTGAATAGCAACCTTATATTTAGTAAGGTAGCGCTTGTCGCAATATTGACATTTTTCCGGATTCAAATGCCGTCGCATATGCACGTTCAGAGTCAGTAGGGTGTCCAGTACAACCGTCTCCATAACACACTCCGGACAAGTAAAAGGCAGCTGATCTTCGTGACTACTAGTCAGGTGTGCCAAAAGGGCTACAGCCGTCCCGAAAGACTCACTTTTACAGATGTAACATTTGTGATCGTGCAGTTTAGGCCGTTTTGGATCTACAACTTTGCTGCACGGACGTCCTCGTTTTCGCTTCGGGATTGGTTCACTTGCCTGAACAGCAGTCACATTCTGTTTTGTAACCGTAACATGACTATCCTCGGCGTGTTCATCCAGAGGCTCCTTCTTTATACCAATATTTAGTTCTGTCGGTTTCCTTTTATCAACTTTGCTCGGACGTCCTCGCTTCTTCTTCGGGATTGGCTCAGTTTCTTGAACAGCAGTCGGCTTCCAATATGGAATGGTTACAATCTGGTTTGGAGCAGTTATTTGTCTTTCCTCGTTGTGTATATCCAGAGGCTCGACCTTAATACAAATATTTAGTTCTGCTGGTTCACTTTCATCAACATCAGCAGCCGCATCAATCTGTTCTTCAGCAGTGTCATTCATTGGCTCCGGGTTCAGAGCTTCCGATTCATTGCAATCCTCTACCACGAGTTCCTGTTTAAGGTAGATTTCTTCGGCTTCCCTAAAACGTAAAACTATCGACATCAGTACCCCAACATTATCTGCATTACGCTGAATGCATTGCTTACACCTTATCCTTATCGTCTGGCGTGTCCTTATTGTCTGGCGTGTCCTTATTGTCTGGCTTATCCATATCGTCTGGCTTTGGTTGGTTGAGTTGCTTCCTTAGCTTCATATCATTTTCCCAATAGCTCTCGATAGTTTTGTAAATCTTCATCAGGTTGGTGGCGCACTGTGAGCAAATCTTTTGAGGCATTCCGTCGTTGGGATCGACCTACAAAAACGTAACATTTTGAAACTGGATTCATCAGATGCCGTACTATTCATAACATATGTAGGTAGGTACTTACCTCTAGCTGTGCAACAGCGTAGATCACTTGGCTCAACGAAAGAGGATGCTCTTCATTTTGCTCGAACAGGGATCGCATACGGCACCTAATGGTGCAGCATAGCCGGCATATTTGTTCCATATCCAAAACACTCATTTTTTAATAATAATTGTGGGGCACCAGAGCACTTCTTAATCGCTTAATAATTATTATTGCGCTTGTACTGCACTACACGATCGTAAAATCTAACTCAGAGAGAGAGAGAGAGTAGCTTATATCAGATGATGCAAAAAAAAACTTAAAGCTCTGAAAACGCTGGCCACGATTGAGCAGTAATTATATTATAAGATGTTATAAGCCTACCTTGATGATATTTTTCTTGACGATTATTATTTAAACATGTTATAACTCTGTAGTCTGAACGTATACTGTTATAACCAACGCTTTAAGAAATTCAATTCTTTTAAATCTGAGTAGAAGTTAATCTCTCTCTGAGGGGAATTGAACGGCCGTGTACGCGAGTAAAAACGGTTAACTTTTATTTACTTTTCCGCGTAAAACCAAGATTTATTCACATGTTTTGAAGCGTCAATCAACACGCTCGTTAAAAATTACTCTAAAGTGAGTAACATTTTTCACGCTTTTCTGGTCGCTCAGAATTGATTCGAATGTACTCAAACGCTATTTCAAAACTACCCAAATTTGGGTAGAATACACCCAGATCTGTCAAAACTGAACCTACCCAAAAATGGGTAAACTATACTGGGAGTGACAAGTTGACAAATTAACAACGTCGATCGGATTCATGTCGATGTTGTTCATTTGTCAACTTGTAACTGCCAACACAGTTTACCCATTTTTGGGTAGGTTCAGTTTTGACATCCATTGATGTAATATTGTATCTGCTTTTTGCTATTACATCATTATTTCATACATCAGCTTGAATTACATTGATCGATATTACATTTTTTTTTTGCTGTGTAGTGACAAAGCTGTATCACCATTTATATACCCACCATGGAGTAAACGACGTTCGAACGTACACGGTTAGAAAAAAAGTACCCAAAATTAAGTTCTTTTCACTCATCTCGGCACTATAGTGCAGGAACCCAAAAGTAGGTAAAGCGGGTCAAAGTAATTTTCATTTACTTGTGTGCAGTTCGTATGGAATTTTCCACTGGCTTTTTAACCAAAAGTAAGTTAGTTGTACCCAACAGTAGGTAAATATGATTATACTCAATGTTGGTTCCCACACTTTACTACCCCTGTTGGGTGGTTTTGCTCCTCCGTTTTTGACAACATTAGTACACACAAACAACAAATATTGTATCAATAAAAATTATGCGTTTTCATATTAAAAGTTTCCAATGTCTAGTAGTTTTAACTACGAGGAAATTCAAATAGAAATAGATTTTGTTGGTTTGAAAGTGTTTTTTTCACATCCGAGTTGTAATTTTAAAAGTGAAATTTTCAAAAGAAAAGTTGTACAACTGTCATAAATGCTTTTCCATATTCATTGACACGTGAATCCAAAAGGCGCGAAAACAAACACTGAATGTGAAGTTTCAAATTATGCATTTCGATAGTGGTTTTTCATAAAGGCCTAGGTTGCAAACGTAAATTTTGTAAATGGCTTCTTGCATAAATTAAAATCTATCTACGAAAGCCGCCCAATTTATCGGATAGAGCCTGGAATAGAGGGCCTCTTCCTTTACACGATAATGCTGGTGATTAACTTGGGAGAGTTTTCATTCTCATGAAATTTGTGAAAAAGGTCATTGTTTACGTTTACGGGCTCTTATCAAAGATCACTGTTAACTTACCTATGTTGAATTCGATTCAGTTTAGAAAATTAATTCCCGTTCAAAAGATGTTGTTCTCAAGTGTATTTTGGGTTTTGAGGAAAAATGAGAATCCATTCTCAAGCTGAGCGTGACTCATACAAGCAGATCGAGAAGCAGATACACCGATACGACACTGTGCAGTGGCCGAGGTAGTGGCATCCGGAAGTCAACACCCATCTTTGAACGGCCAGCAAAGGGGACCTGACGCCACCGATTCAATTTTTATTTTTCAGAAGATTCGGTAAATTGAGTAATTGTAGTGTTTTAATTTAATTTATTTTTTCCTGTTTAGCAGCAGCAACTCCAGAAACAGCCAATACAGCAGAGTCAGCAATTGCTTTCCACAAGATTTCGTGAGGCATTTTTGGCAGCACTTAGCATTGCAGGAGTGGAGGGAGGATGTTGTCGATATGGCAATAACGGGGTCTGAGCATCACTTCCAGTGGATGGAGTCAGTCTACGCCAGTGATAGGGATTACGAAATGCGCTGCCACGTGAACCAACAGCAGGAGGAATCCTAGATCAATTGACCCATCTTCTCGGTGGCTCAGTATCTTCCGGCTGTACTGCAAGATCCCAGCCGTACTAATCAGATTCATTTCACCAAATAACATTAATGGCTGCTACGGATTGAACTTTTTTTTCCCTTGATTTGTTTTCCGTCGATCTTGTTTTTCAGGCTTAGCACCAATGCTACCGACGCCAGGGAGGCAATAACCCACACCTGGACCCTACCTATCAACCCATCAACTCATGAACCGGGGACCAACGGCTTTACTTCCCGTGATCAGAGATGTTATGCCTCAGAACATTCCGGTGACGTCTCAAAGTGTAAGATCAAGATATCAAAACGAATGTGAATGTGAATAGTGACTTTTTCTTTTTTGCAGTATGAACCTTACTTTTCCAGTGCACACACCCACGTCGTTGATAAACATGATTCCATTACCCTATCGGCTACATTCGTGCTTAGATTCGTGTGGTAAGGATGCAGGATGAAGCATCCCATCAGCAAGGAGTGGGAAAATCGTCGGAAGACCCCGAGGCCACAGCAGCGACGGCTTCGGAAATCGGATAGACAACATGAGTAATATAGGAAGTAATAAATATATTTTTAGAAATTTTATCAAATAAATTAAGAAATTAATTAATATTTATTAGAACTTATTTTGAAAAATCCTGGAAAAAAAACGATAAAAAAGCTTATTTTTTTAATTAAAAACACTGTTTTCCATTTGAGAATGGCACATTTTATGTCAACTATACTATGCTTTCCTTTCAAAAGTTTGTATTGAAACGAAAATAACCCCCTTTAAATTTGAGCACTGCCTCGCTTTCCATTTGACAGTACTACAATTCACTTTAAAAATGTCAACTTTTGAAAGCAGGGAGTGGGTAACTTTTGAATTAACAGTTGGATCACTTTTGTTTTGAAAGCTAAACACTTTCTACCAAAAAGAACCAATGCAAACTTTTAATTCTACCAATGGTTTTTTTTAATTTCATTAGCGATTATATTATTATAAATTATAATAGGGCTAGGACACAATCTGCGCTGGTAACATAAACTTTGTTTTATTTTCTTGGTTTTTTGTTTATAAAATAAATGAATAAATTCATGTTTTAAATATGATACAAACATTAGTTTGGCTACTTTTCTTAATCTTGAAAATCATTAATATGATAATATTTAAAATTTGATGTAAAAAATATATTGTCATAATAAAAACAACTCTTTTCGAACTGAAACAGTTTGCACTTCATTTTGAAAGCATTGGTTTTCCTTTTGACAGTTCTACAATTTGATTCAAAAGCATCAACTTTTAAAACTAACGAAGAGGTAAACTTGTGATTAAACAACACATGTGTGGACAAGTTACACATTTTTATTTAGAATGCTTCAGACTTTCTACCAAAAAGAACCAACGAAAACTTTTAATTCTATCAATGATTTTTTTAATTTTAGTAGTGATTATTGTTTGTGTGTAGGAGAAAAGGAGACAAACTAGTCAAAAGTAGGTAAAAGTGAACTGGCCGTTGGGTACTTTTTTCTTACAATTCCAATCCACTCAGCTACACGGTAACCAGCGTAAACACATAAATGAGTAAAAAAATACACATTTTTTATATTTATATGCAGCTGTCAAAAAATGTGTAAATTTAGAGATCCTAAAATGTGTAAAAAAATACACATTTTAAGAATGTAGTACCAGTCAAAAAATGTGTATTTTTATACTCATTAATGGGTAAAAAAAACTTCAAACTTGTTGACGCACGCCATTTGCTAAATTTCAGTGAAGAACAGCAGGAAAATTGAGGAACTACGGTCCAAACTGGACAGTGCGCAACGATGGACATTCTAGAGGGTAGGTGATTTATACTTTTTTCATAGCTTTTAGTTTTAGTTTAGTTTATATACCTACTTCATATACTGATTTTTGTTTTTCTTCCCTTGATTTGTTTCCCGTGATGAGCATCAATGCTACCGACGCCAGGGAGGAATCTCCCATACCTGGACCCTACCTATCGACCCATCAACTCATGAACCGGAAACCAATGGCTTCACTTCCCTTCCGAAGGAAGGCGTGATCCTCGGCGCGATCAGAGATGTTACACAGCAAAAAAAAATGTAATATCGATCAACGTAATTCAAGCTGATGTATGAAATAATGATGTAATAGCAAAACGCAGATACAATATTACATCAATGGATGTAATTTTGTTCGCAAAATCGATGTACATCGTACAATGTGATATTACACAACCGATGGATTGACCTGGTTGCAGCAGTTTCGATGTAATATTCAACAACTTTTTTTGCTGTGTATGCCTCAGAACATCCCGGCAGCGTCGACTGGGATTGAGAGTAAATCACGACGAAATCACGCTTACCAACACCTCCGGTGCCGCTACTTATTTTTGTTGATTATATTTCTGTTTTTAATAAAATATATACAATAATCGAGCAATCTTTATTTTACCATTGACACAAATATGAAAATTCCGAAGTTAATAAAAAACCATGAGCACTCATTATATTTAAGTTCTAGAAATGATTACTTTTTACACATTTTGCTATAAAAACCGTTCTTGAAAAATGTGTAAAAAATACACTTCTTTTGACGTTTGCTGGGTTTACACATAAATGTGTAAACGCAGTTTACACATTTTATGAGTAGGCCCCTTTTTTCACGAAATGTGTGAAATTTTACACATTAATGTGTTTACGCTGGTTACCGTGTATATTTTCAGTTGCGGGGGGTTTTTGTTTCGATTTCTTTTCAAGGATATGAACACTCAAAAATATTACTAATCGAAAATAGATTAAAATTTAATATTTATTTTATTTAGCTATGTTTATTCATAGATTTGATTAAAAAGTAA